GAAGAAAACTTCTTTAAATCATATTTTTTCTTCACATTTTCACCTTAATTATCTAAGAATTTAGGACTTTAAATAAAGACGCTTGTTTAGGATAATTCGTGTAGAAACCTACCCTTAAGGCTAAAAAAATGCAATCTCGAACTTCAGGACTGACGTGGTAATAAAGGTATATTAAGAAAGGTTTTCTTGAAGATGATTTAGTAATAAACGGAGAGTACGTACACAAATAAAGGAGTGCAAATGCAATGATATGTTCCTTGTTCCAATACTCACCGAAAACGAAAAGAAGATCACTAAAGCAAAAATAACGAAATATTTTTAGAATCATGTTTATCATCCCAATTCAAGGGCATAAGCAGCAAACGCAGTTAGATTTACTCTATAACATTTAGACCTCCAAATTAACTAGAAGTCTACGCCAATCATACTACCTTTAGAATTGAATTTTGAACTTTGTGGTTGATAACAATTTGGAGAAATAAGTAACATAGTCATAACTTAAAATTATCTACTATGTTATTCATATAAAGAGGACTTTACAAAATTACGGAAAATAAGAATAGTTAAATAGATTATAAATGGAGGCTTGTGCATGGAAATGTATCTTAAAGAAGGGACATATGAAACGTTGCTTGCTTGGGTGTTAAAAGTAGGCGTCTGTCACTTGCATCTATTTGTAATTTTTTAATTTTTAATATTTAAATTAAATGGGTTAGGTTAGTAGATAAGGAGGGGTATTTTAGTAATTTAACTTTTGACTTAAGGGCTTCTCACTTTTAATATAGTACTAGTTTCTCGGTACGTGCGTTGCACGTGTATGTCAAGTTATATAATACAAAATTTTATAATTTGTATCGATATTAAAAATATAAAATTTCAAATAAAATTTTCGTGAATGAATAAAGTATTTGTTTATGCGAACATTCAACGTAGATCATCCAACGTAGACTTAAGGGCTTCTCACTTTTAATATAGTACTAGTTTCTCGGTACGTGCGTTGCACGTGTATGTCAAGTTATATAATACAAAATTTTATAATTTGTATCGATATTAAAAATATAAAATTTCAAATAAAATTTTCGTGAATGAATAAAGTATTTGTTTATGCGAACATTCAACGTAGATCATCATATTGTGACTTGTTTGTCGGGTCAAGATGATTGGATGCCCTTTAAATCTATGAAGATAAATAATCAAAGTTTAGTTAGATCTCAATGTGATTCTTTTTAGTTAATTTGATTTAGTAAGGTACAAACATATGGTGTATCTCACCTATTATACTTCCTTATTGACGATATTCCTCGTGTATGTTTCTTCCATTTGTTTTGGTTGCTCTATCATGGCTGAGACTCTTATTGTAAATTCTCCAGCTCTTCACGAGTGGGTCGAACACACCCGTCAACCACTTGGTTATAACATTTATTGGCGAACATCTTTGGCAATTCTGTTCATTCACCTATACAAGAGTATCGGACTATCGGTTGTAAAATTCAGAAATAATTATTTGTCAAGGTAAAATTCAGAAATAACTATGGTTATAACATTTACAATTACGATTTATCACCCGGTGACAGACTAATCGTAACAATGGAGAATATAAAAAATGGACAATTAAAAGAAAATCCTGGTCAAGGGCTTATCGTTGTGCACGAATAAGGGGTCATAGGCTCTGGCAGATACGGTTCTAACTTTGATACGATTCTAACTTTGATACGATTGTTTGGATCCCAGTTGAGAAACTGGTCATTCACAAAGAATCTAAAATATAGATGCAAGTTCTTTTAACATATTGGCAGCCAACTAAGCAGCACCTGAGTGAGAACATGTTGTAACACATTTAAACAATTGATCATAAAAAAAGCTTCTTCATTACATGTGCAAGTTGTGTTGTTTCACTTAAGTTATACAAAGACATGTTCCAATAAGATTAATTACAGGTACAACAATTAAAAATATTGATGCATAGGTTGTGACATCAGTAACTCCATAATTTGATAGAATTGACAACAGTTGTGCCAAAGAACACAATTAACAAGCGTGGTACAATAAAGCAAGAAATTTTTTAATAGAATTGGCAATAGCTGTGCCAAAGAACAAAAATTTAACAATGAGTAATACAAGAAAGCAAGAAAAAATTGAGCAGAGGTATATGACTATTGGTTGATTACGACAAAAAGAATAGATCTAGGGAAGCAAGTGCAATAGCAATGCCATTTAGGCTTAGGAATTTAACTCTTATGACAGAGAATGAGCCCATGTTATTTGAAAGATTCAAAGATGACTCTTGAATTTAGCTGTATATTATCTGTATGTTACCTATATGAGCTAAAATATTGTGATAATCAAATAAATAAGATTAGCTTTCAAAAATCTCTACTCTCAGGAACCCAACAATATGAAGGTGAATGCCTAATTCTAGGGAAGAGCTTTAACCACATTAATGTATAAGATGAAATAAAATGCAATAACTCCAACAATAACTTTATTCCTCCGACCACTTTAGAGAAATAAAGAATTCATGTAACATTGGAGAAATCATAATTAATTAAATCTCCTATCGCATCTACCGAATAAATTAAATTTGCATAACAATAGTAACATTCTAAGTATAATAGTAATTAAAGTAAGATAGATTATGTGCTTTCTATTGTGAGTAACATTCTTGTTTGAAATGTTTCTGATTAATTAGTAAACATATTAGCATTACCCGTTGTGTGAGTGAGTCATCGAGGTAATCTGTTAGAAGAGAGGTAAACAATTTTACATTGAATCAATATTAAATCTCTAAGGAAAATAAAAATATTTTTCAAATGAAAGTTCTTTTCGAACAAATATCAAATCTTAAATGTTTGTTCGAAACAAACTCAAAAGTTTGAAAAAAGGCGAACTTAGGCCAAACTACTCCATTGTCAAGTAAAACCTCCTCAACTTTGTCAGTATTTACCCTAAAATTTTTAATGATTAAATGTCCATTGCAATAATTATCATCATAGTAAAAGTAATAACAATACTATAACAACAAAAACCATGAAAACAAAATAATTATAGAAACTAATGTCATAACCAAACCTCTACTTTGTAACCTTCAGTTTAGATTGTTCGGCAACCAAATCACAATTCAATCGATCAGCAGTATAGGTCTATAAGAGACCAAGGTGCATTTTAATTATAAAACTTCAAATCACTTCATTATGACTATGAGTGAAGAATGTAAATCAATAAGTAAAAACTCGAGGAATCAATGAGTAAATACTCGAGGCACAAGTTTAATAACAATCATCTCAATAATTCAGAGGTATTAACCCATATTTTGATTCATTTAGCTAACTTTATATAACACACATATTTTGCTGGAACATATTTTCTCAAAGCGACCCCAAGTTGAAGCTGTGGCCAATCCTTACTCTTAAACTTTAATATTAATGGCAAATTTGAACTATTTGGAACATATGGTAACCTACTTAACTAACATGATGAGTTAGAATTTAAAAATTTATGATATTCCGTTGATGGCCTTCGACAATATTTATGTTTGAAAAGAATACTCTTAGCGGATGATATATTTATTAATGGACGATAATATAAAAAACAAGTGTATATATTACCTTATTTGTTAGGAGTATTAAGCTAGATTCATTCTTCGCCATAGGTTAGAAAAAATGATCTAAACTTTCTTGATACTTCTTATGTTTCAATGAGTAACCTTCTTGAAGAATGTAAATCAATGAGTACTCGAGGCACAAGTTTAATAACAATCATCTCAATAAAATTGTCCATGATTATTCCAAATCAATGAAAATTATCAACCAAAATTAGTATCATTAAGTAGCCAAACACATAAATTATTACACAGAACTTGTTAGAAAAAGAACATGCTAAGAAATCAAAATAACAAATTACTTGAAGAGATATAGATAGACCTTTAACCACCCAATGCCAAATTCCTTCCTTTTTCAATCATCTTTTACCAAAATAAGAACGTCCAATGAAAAACAATTAAAAATAAATATCTTACCTTAATGTTTGTTGGTTTGGATGACAAAATTTCTAACTCATTATGCAATTCTCCTAACAACTTGTACCATCAATATCCAAAAAAAAAAAAGACAAATAATATAATAAAATAAAAAACAATTAACCGATAGTTGCTCATTAGGAGATGCACGTGTGACACTATGGGTCTTTCTAAAACCTGTTGGAAAAATTTAACAGAGAAGTGCAATGATTGATGGAAACTTGCCATGGGGGTTCTCATTTTTAAAGAGAAAGAAATTAAATGGTGCAACTGTTGGGAAGATTTAGAGCGAAGTTCAAGCGCAATAGGGGACGCTTCAGACAGTCGCGTGTAGCAGTTTATTTTTAGGGTTTAAAAAAAATATTTAATAAGAGAAGGGTAATTTTGTAATTTGACTTTTAACTTAAGAGCTTCATGCTTTTAATATTTTGCAGATTGTAGATATATTTAACTTTTGACTTTAGGGCTTCTCACTTTTAATATATTATATATAAAATTGTGAATATAATTTGTGGATCTGGTTCGATTTTTTCTTCGCTTTGCTTTTTTATCAAATCAAACCAAATAAAAAACTGTCAGCTTTCAAAAATTCATATTCAAACCAAAGCCAAACCCAAAAAAAAATATTTAGCCGTTTGAATCGATTTTCGGTCTGGGTCAATTTTTAACCAAACCGTGAACACCACCATTATACATACTTGAATTTCCCAACTAGAGGTAAATTTAGATGAGAGCACCTTGTGAGATTGAGAATTTGAAACAAAAACTGCTGCGGGGTTTAACTAATGTTGCTGTCTTTTGAAAATGATGAGGAAATGTTGTTCTGACTTGCTTAGATTGCTGCGATTTTAGTGAATGTGGAGTATTACTTGCAAGAGTTTTGATCTTTCAGCAGTTTAATACTAAAGCCACCAAAGTTGTAAAACTATGGTTATTCTTTTCACTGCTGTGATGACACTGCTCAATAGACTGGTTGAAAAAAGCATACAACAAAATCTAACTGTTATACCTGGTGTGCTAAGCGATTATTATACAGACTGTACAAGAGAATCAAGGGAATCACTATATACAAAATAATTATGACAAATGAGCTGACTACTGGAAATTTGCCAGCAGCAACAGTCACTCTCTCCAGCACATTCCACTGCTTTGGCTGCTAATGGATGTCATGATAATCAATGAATCCTTTATTCCGGTCCTGCATGGGGATACACATCGAAATAAGACTGAAAGAGGATCATGTCGTGGACTCCTAGTTGTTCCTTAACAGCACAATTTTTGTAAATTCAGCAGTTCTCTGGTGGCTCTTGACAAGATGTCCGTTCATTAAGCCTCCTCTCAGCAGCTATAGCAGCAGCAACAGAAGGTGGCAAATGCGTCAAGCTCCCAGTTGCCTTATCATCAGTGGAAGGTGCCACCCTGAATAAGGATTCAACATCTCTTAGTGTCAAAACGGGCTGATCTTGATTCTTTCTGTTGCCACTAACAAGTGAACCGAGATTCCTGCTCTTATTCAACTTATATAAGCTCTCCTCAACTGTGTCTTTCACCTATTATTTTATTATAGAAACCAACAAAAAAAGAGAGTTATGAATAATCCCCTCTGCAGGATACTATGTAGCAAAAATAGGTTGATAAAAGTATAACAAAGAATCCCTGGAAGCATCCAGTGCACAGATAAATATAGGTCATCTCACCAACACAAGCTTTAAATTCATATCAAAAGACCGAAATAGGTCTCCATCCAAAGTCACTTCAGCAGTTTTAAGTTTCATTAACTTTTTGCATATGAATGGAGGTGACACATTCATTCAAGATTCATGTTGTTAGTAGGAGATTTAGGTTATATTTAAAATGACAGACAGCTCAACTGGAAAACAACGCAAGTACAAGTTTTAGGTCAGTCATCATACCACGAATTTTAGACACAAAACTGTTTCCATACAGAGTTAGATTCAGACTCCCAACTCAATATTAACGAAGGTTAGAATAGAGAGACATACTATAAAACGATGAACAAGAGTCTTATGTGCCTGCCCAATTCGATGCACCCTGCCAATGGCTTGTGCTTCTGCTGCAGGATTCAGCAGTGGTTCAACAAGTATAACATGCTGGGCTTCCAGAAGATTGAGGCCATTGGCTCCATGTTGGATTAGGAGCAACAACACTTGAATGGATCTGGTTTCTGGGTGCCCCGCATGTCTTTTGCCAGTTTCTTTGACATTGCTGTTAAGGCCTCTGAACTGGCTGATGGCAACATGTGCTTTCCTGTGGACTCAGTACTATAAGTTCAAAATTTGAAACTGATGATTCATGGCAAATTCTGAAAAATGCAACAGGAAATGTTAAACCATAAAACCAAGATCTGCTTCCTTCACGGATTTTTGGAATGAACTAAGAATGTGGCGACTTCGTTCCAACTATTAGTTTTCATATGATGCCCAACACTGCTTAAAATCATAATAGTTTCATAAGTAAGATACAATTCCTGAGCTGATCCAGACTATGTCATCGATTATTGATATTTGGCATATTTATCTATGTTTTAGTATCAATTATTTTCCACTTTAATGTCCTCAGATTGTTTTAGCTGTTAAAAATACCTGATTTGGCTTAAATATTAATTTAATGATTAGAAAGCCAACAAGGTAAAAGGAGGCAATTAGGGAGATTTGCACCCCAACGATGTGGCGTAGTGGTCAATGAAGTGGGTCAGAACCAGAAGGTCTCACGTTCAAATCCCAACGGAGGCAAAAGCACTAGGTGATTTCTTTCCATTTGTCCAAGCCTTGGTGGACAGAGTTACCTGGTACCTGTTGTTGGTGGGAGGTGGAAGGTATCCCATAGAATTAGCCGAGGCACGCGCAAGCTGGTCCGGACATCACAATTATTTTTTTTTTTAAAAAAAGAAGGAAGATTTTTGGATTGAATTTGAAGATTTGAAGAAACTGAATAAGTCCCGGGGGGTATGGCGCGCATGCGAAAATTCTAGGCTTATACTCTGAGGGCTTGTTTTGTCCACACATAAATTTTAGCACACAAATGCTTCCTAGCCTATTTTCAGCCGCATCTCGACATGGAAGACAAGAGATCACCATTGTTGAAACAAGATCAAGCTTGGAAAAGCCTCAAGTCCATTCTAACTGAAGATCTAAAGGGTTTTTCATGAACTTTTCTTATTTTCTTCTTCTATGGATTCTCTCTTGTTATCTAACTTTGGGTTTTTGAGTAGAATGATATTGGCTCGTGTCCTTATTCCTTTATCTAGAGTTTGATGGAACCTTTTATTGGGCGAACTATTTGGCTGCTTCTTGATAAATAGGCCTGAATCTGTTTTTATTTGTTTCAACAATGAATTTCTTGTGTTTGATTGAAGAGCTCTCAATTGAATGTGCCCTAGATTCTTGACCAAAACTTGGGAAAGGAATTTCAAGATTGGTGTTAGTTGAACAATAACATTTCAGATTAATTAAGGTATTAATTAGTTTGATCTAAAGACTATAATTAGGAACAATTCAATCTTATTGTGATCTTTTGTGAGCTGGCTTACAGGAATCCTTGAATTAACTTGGGAGAGTAATTTGAGGAAATTGTTGCGCTAGTAATTGGGAAGTTCTAGCGATAATCTAGTGACTCACGATCAGTAAAAATAATCAGACGAGATCCATAGAGAAGTGGTTGCTATTTCATTCCAATAACTGGGGAATTCATGATCCTAGGCCTTTTATTAATTGACTTCTACTCCACATATTTTTAATAGTAGTAAATCTTTAATCATAATTAAAAAAACATTAGTTGGTAATCGTTCAACTTAGTTTACTCAATAATTAAACCAGCTAAAACTAGTCCTGAGCTCTCTGTGGGATCGATCCTGGACTTAAAAGCCAGGTTATATTTGTAAAGACTATAGATCATCTCATTAAGGGTAAAATGAGAATTTTAAAGTCAAATTGTTTCTAGCTATATAAAGGATCATTCCTTTTAGGACAGGATAAAAAAGAAAGTGCATCACATAAATTGGACAGAAGGAGTAGGAGTATGCAGAAGCAGAAGCAGAAGAGCAAGAGTGGATTAATGCTAGTTCTGGGCCATCTTCATCATCAAAGTTGAGAAGACAGTCTGAAGGTTTAGCTGATTTACTACATCAAGTATGTGGAAAAACCACACTTCCGCAATGTGAGTTGTTTGGTACAAATTGGATATTTTAGCATGACCGTTCCCAGATTCTCACAAGAGTTATTTATTATATAGTAGAAACTTGCTCTTTGATACATTAACTCAAGTATGGAACATTAAAGATGGTCCCTTAGGATGAAAAAGGATGAATCAGGTTCCTAGTTTTTGCTTAGATCATATTTAGAGAAGGAACTTGATCCTTATAAAATTTATAGTATCTTCTGTCCGGGGAATTGGAAGTAACGAGCAAAATTGATTTCCACAGGCAATATCCTCTTATGGACTGGAAGGAAGACTCAAAACCTTAATACAACAGGTTGGAATTGGATAGCCAAAGATCATAGAGGACTTTCAGGCAAGAGAGTGGACTTATAGTTTGGCTTGTATACCATATGAAAGAATATAATCTTCCAACCAACATTTTAAACAATGATTGATTAGCCTAAGACCATTATGCTACATATTTCTCTAATAATCAATTATATTATTTCACATGTATAGGACTGTAAAGATCAGGATACAACCTGGAGAGGTTCCACGAGATAGGAGAACTTTTTGCATAGGAATTTATTTATGCAAGATACGATAATCATTACCAGTTTAGAGTTTCACGGCTAGATCCTATGCTGAAGTAAAGGCATGTCATCCTCAAAGATACGTGCTGTTATCATAAACATTTTTTTTTTTTGAATTGGTAACTATTGTATATATTAAAAACATCAGTACATAGGTTGCACTGAAAACCAAATTTACATGAAGAGAATTAGTAGATGTTCTAATTCGAGACCTAGCAAAATCCTAGTATGTCTATGATTGTCAATGTATCTTCTATGTAAATCTGTTTGCACCAAAAACAAAAAAGAAGAATACAATTGAGTTTGATCTTCTGCACTGGATTGCTTCTATCTTCAAAACATCTCGCGTTTCTTTCCCTCCAAACTGTCCACCAGATACAAGCCGGGACAGTCCTCCATCTATCTCTACTAGTTGCTTCAGCTCCAACTTCTTCCCAGCTATAAAGGACATATTTAAGCCTGTATGGCATTGACCATGAAATACCCCCAAGACTAATAAAGATTTTCCATAGTTGGTCTGTAATCTTGCAATGTAGAAACAAATG